GACACAGAGGCTCTAAGGGACACCTCAGACAACAGTGCACCAGTAACGGGGGAGTGCACTCTCCTAAGAGACACAGAGGCTCTAAGGGACACCTCAGACAACAGTGCACCAGTAACCGGGGCATGTACTCTCCTAAGAGACACAGAGGTTCTAAGGGACACTCAGATAACAGTGCACCAGTAACAGGGGCGTGTACTCTCCTAAGGGACACAGAGGCTCTAAGGGACACCTCAGACAGCAGTGCACCAGTAACGGGGGAGTGCACTCTCCTAAGGGACACAGAGGCTCTAAGGGACACCTCAGACAACAGTGCACCAGTAACGGGGGAGTGCACTCTCCTAAGAGACACAGAGGCTCTAAGGGACACCTCAGACAACAGTGCACCAGTAACCGGGGCATGTACTCTCCTAAGAGACACAGAGGTTCTAAGGGACACTCAGATAACAGTGCACCAGTAACAGGGGCGTGTACTCTCCTAAGGGACACAGAGGCTCTAAGGGACACCTCAGACAGCAGTGCACCAGTAACGGGGGAGTGCACTCTCCTAAGAGACACAGAGGCTCTAAGGGACACCTCAGACAACAGTGCACCAGTAACCGGGGCATGTACTCTCCTAAGAGACACAGAGGTTCTAAGGGACACTCAGATAACAGTGCACCAGTAACAGGGGCGTGTACTCTCCTAAGGGACACAGAGGCTCTAAGGGACACCTCAGAAACAGTGCACCAGTAACAGCGAGTATACTCTCCTAAGGGACACAGAGGCTCTAAGGGACACCTCAGACAACAGTGCACCAGTAACGGGGGAGTGCACTCTCCTAAGAGACACAGAGGCTCTAAGGGACACCTCAGACAACAGTGCACCAGTAACCGGGGCATGTACTCTCCTAAGAGACACAGAGGTTCTAAGGGACACTCAGATAACAGTGCACCAGTAACAGGGGCGTGTACTCTCCTAAGGGACACAGAGGCTCTAAGGGACACCTCAGACAGCAGTGCACCAGTAACGGGGGAGTGCACTCTCCTAAGAGACACAGAGGCTCTAAGGGACACCTCAGACAACAGTGCACCAGTAACCGGGGCATGTACTCTCCTAAGAGACACAGAGGTTCTAAGGGACACTCAGATAACAGTGCACCAGTAACAGGGGCGTGTACTCTCCTAAGGGACACAGAGGCTCTAAGGGACACCTCAGACAGCAGTGCACCAGTAACAGCGAGTATACTCTCCTAAGGGACACAGAGGCTCTAAGGGACACTCAGACAGCAGTGCACCAGTAACGGGGGAGTGCACTCTCCTAAGAGACACAGAGGCTCTAAGAGACACCTCAGACAACAGTGCACCAGTAACGGGGGAGTGCACTCTCCTAAGAGACACAGAGGTTCTAAGGGACACTCAGATAACAGTGCACCAGTAACAGGGGCGTGTACTCTCCTAAGGGACACAGAGGCTCTAAGGGACACCTCAGACAGCAGTGCACCAGTAACAGGGGCGTGTACTCTCCTAAGGGACACAGAGGCTCTAAGGGACACCTCAGACAGCAGTGCACCAGTAACAGGGGCGTGTACTCTCCTAAGAGACACAGAGGTTCTAAGGGACACTCAGATAACAGTGCACCAGTAACAGGGGCGTGTACTCTCCTAAGGGACACAGAGGCTCTAAGGGACACCTCAGACAGCAGTGCACCAGTAACGGGGGAGTGCACTCTCCTAAGAGACACAGAGGTTCTAAGGGACACTCAGATAACAGTGCACCAGTAACAGGGGCGTGTACTCTCCTAAGGGACACAGAGGCTCTAAGGGACACCTCAGACAACAGTGCACCAGTAACGGGGGCATGTACTCTCCTAAGAGACACAGAGGCTCTAAGGGACACTCAGATAACAGTGCACCAGTAACCGGGGCATGTACTCTCCTAAGAGACACAGAGGTTCTAAGGGACACTCAGATAACAGTGCACCAGTAACCGGGGCGTGTACTCTCCTAAGAGACACAGAGGCTCTAAGAGACACCTCAGACAACAGTGCACCAGTAACGGGGGCGTGTACTCTCCTAAGAGACACAGAGGCTCTAAGGGACACTCAGATAACAGTGCACCAGTAACAGGGGCGTGTACTCTCCTAAGGGACACAGAGGCTCTAAGGGACACCTCAGACAGCAGTGCACCAGTAACGGGGGAGTGCACTCTCCTAAGAGACACAGAGGCTCTAAGAGACACCTCAGACAACAGTGCACCAGTAACGGGGGCGTGTACTCTCCTAAGAGACACAGAGGTTCTAAGGGACACTCAGATAACAGTGCACCAGTAACAGGGGCGTGTACTCTCCTAAGGGACACAGAGGCTCTAAGGGACACCTCAGACAACAGTGCACCAGTAACGGGGGCATGTACTCTCCTAAGAGACACAGAGGCTCTAAGGGACACTCAGATAACAGTGCACCAGTAACCGGCGCATGTACTCTCCTAAGAGACACAGAGGTTCTAAGGGACACTCAGATAACAGTGCACCAGTAACCGGGGCATGTACTCTCCTAAGAGACACAGAGGTTCTAAGGGACACTCAGATAACAGTGCACCAGTAACAGGGGCGTGTACTCTCCTAAGGGACACAGAGGCTCTAAGGGACACCTCAGACAGCAGTGCACCAGTAACAGGGGCGTGTACTCTCCTAAGGGACACAGAGTCTCTAAGGGACAATCAGAAAACAGTGCACCAGTAACGGGGGCGTGTACTCTCCTAAGAGTGCACTAGGAAGAAATACAAAGTATGAATAGACCAATCACCAAATATAATATGAATCAGCAATTTAAAAGCTACCAATAAAGAAAAGCCTAGGACCAGATGGCATCACAAGTGAATTCTGTCAAATATTTAGAGAAGAGTTAACACCTAGTCTCCTGATGCTATTACAAAAACTGAAGAAGTAAGGCTTCCAAGCTCATTTTAAGGGGCCAGCATCACTCTAATATCAAAATCATACATGGATATCAAGCATTAAAAAGTATTACAGGTAAATATCACCAATGAATGTAGATTAAGAATTCCACAACAAATTAACAAACCTAATTCAACAATACACTAAAAGGATTGATCATATACCATGATCAAGTGGGAACTACCCAGGAGATGCAAAAAAGTTTCAATATCTACCTATCAATCAATGTGATACACCACACTAACAAACTGAAGAATAAAAATTATATGACCATCCCAGTAGAGGATGGAAAATCTTTTGACAAAATTCAACATCCATTTATGATTTAAAAATCCACAAAACAGGTATAGACGGAATATACCTCAACATAATAAAGAACATAAATAATAAACCAACATGTAATATCATACTCAATGGTTAAAAAGAGCATTTGTAAGAAGGTCAGGAATAGTACAAAGATGCCCTCTCTCACTGCTTTTATTCAACATAGCACTGAAAGTCCTAAGCATAACAATCAGACAAGAAAAAGAAATAAGAAGAATCCAAACTGTAAAGGAAGAAATAAAACTGTTACTGTTTGCAAATGACATGATATTATATGTAGAATATCCTAAGGACATCACCAAAAAAAAAAAAAATTCTGGAACTCATCAATTAATTTGGTAAAGTTTCAGGATACAATATTAGTATATAGAAATCAGTTAGGGATTTCCCTGGTGATCCAGGGGTTAGGACTCCACACTTCCATTCCAGGGGTTGCAGGGAACTAAGATCCGGCATGCCACACAGCATGGCCAAAAAACAGGGAAGAAAGAAAAGAGGAACAGAAGGAAGCAAGGAAAGGAGGGAGGAAGAGAGAAAGAGATCAGCTGCATTTCTATACCTAATAATGAACTATATGAAAGAGAAATTAAGGAGACGTCCCATTTTCCATTGAATCAAACAGAATAAAATATCTAGGAATAAACTTACCTAAGGAGGTAAAAGACACACAGTCAGAAAACTATAAGACACTGACGGAAAAAACTAAAGATATCATAGATGGAAATCCATGTTCTCGGATCGGAAGAATTAATATTGTTAAAATGACCATACTACCCAAGGTAGATTCACTTCAATCCCTATCAAAATCCAATGGCATTTTTCACAGAACTAGAACAACTTTAAAATTTGTATGGAAACACAAAAGACCCTGAATAGCCAAAACAATCTTGAGAAAGAAGAGCTAGAGGTGTCACACTTCCTAACTTTAGACTAATTACAAAAATATAATAATCAAAATAGCACAGAATTCACACAAAAACAGTCACTTAAGATAAAAGGAATAGAACAGACAGCACAGAAATAAATGCATGCCTCATGATCAATTAATCTGTGACAAAGAAGGCAAGAATATATTGGGTTGGCCAAGAGGTTTTCTTGGGTTTTTCTATAGTATCATGGAAAAACCCAAACAAACTTTTTGGCCAATCCAATATAATAGGCGGGAAAACAGTCTCTTCAATAAGTGATCTTGGGAAAGCCGGACAGACACATGTAAAAGAATTAAATTAGAACATTATTCATACCACATACAAAAATAAACCTCCCAAAAGTATATATGTGTGTATATATACATATAACTGAATCACTCTTGTATACCTGAAACTAACATTAACACTGTTAATCAACTATACTCCAATATAAAATTAAAAGTTTTTTAAAATGTTAGGTAATAAATGTTAGGTAAAAGTGATACAGAATGTTTGATGAAAATAAAATAAAGACTTAATAATGATTAAACAAAAAGCCAAAATGGACTAAAAACCTAAATGTAAGACCAGAAACCATAAATTCCTAGAAGAAAACATAGGCAGAATACTCTTTAACATACATCATAGAAATTTTTTTTTTGATTTGTCTCCTAAGGCAAAGGAAACAAAAGCAAAAATAAACAAATGGGACCTAATTAAACATAAAAGCTTTTGCACAGTAAAGGAAATCATCAACAAAACAAAAAGACAACCTACAAAATGAGAGATAATATTTGCAAATGATGTGACTAACAATAGGTCTTCCTAGGTGGCGCTAGTGGTAAAGAACCCACCTGATGATGCAGGAGACAAGAGATAACAGGTTCAGTCCCTGGGTCAGGAAGATCCCTGGAGGAGGAAATGACAACCCACTCCAGTGTTCTTGCCTGGAAAATCCCTTGGACAGAGGTGCCTGAGGGGCTATAGACCATGGGGTCGCAAAGAGTTGGACATGACTTAGTGACTTAATGCACATGACTGATAAGGGGTTAATAGGCTCAGCCGTAAAGAATCTGTCTGCAATACAGGAGATGCGGGTTTGATGCCTGGGTAGGGACGATCCCCTGGAGAAGGAAATGGCAACCCACTGCAGTATTCTTGCTGGGAGAATCCCATGGACAGAGGAGCCTGGTGAGCTACAGTCCATAGGGTCACAAAGAGCCAGACATGACAGAGAAGTGAGAACACATACCCAAAACTTACAGAGAGCTCATACACCTTAATATAAAAAAAAAAAAATTGTAAAATAGGCAGGAGACCTGAATAGACATTTTTCCAAAGAAGACATACAGATGGCCAGCAAGTTTATGTGATATTCATCATCACAGATAAAGGCTAATAAAAAGCACAATGAGATGTCACCTCACACCTGTCAGGTGGCTAGCATCAAAAAGACCACAAATAAATAACAAATGCTGGTGAGGATGTGGAGAAAGAGAGTTCTTGTACACTGCTGGTGGGAATGTAGTGGTAGAATCACTGTGGAGAAGAGTATGGAGATTCCCTGAAAAAAAACTAATAAGAGAACTACCATAGGATCCAGCAATCCCACTCCTGGGTAAACATCCAGAGAAAATAAAAAACACTCATTTGAAAAGATACATGCACCTCAATGTTTACAGTAGCATTATTTACAATAGCCAAGACAAGACAGCAACCTAAATGTCCATCAACAGATGAATGGATAAAGATGTCACCCATATATACAAGAGACTACTCAGCCACACAAAAAAATAAATTTTTGCCATTTGTAACAACATGGATAGACCTAAGGGTGTTATACTCCGTGAAATAAGTCAGAGAGAAAAAGGATGAATACTGTATATACTACCACTCACGTATGAAAACAAAAAACAAAATGAAGGAATATAACAGAGAAACAGATTCACAGATATAAAGAACAAACTAGTGGTTACCAGTGGGAAGAAGAAAGAGGGAAGGCAGTATAGCAGTAGGGGATTAAGAAGCAGAAATTACTATGCATAAGATAAGCTACAACTATTATCTTGTACAACGCAAGGAATATAGCCAATACTTCATAACTTTAAATGGAGTATAATCCACAGAAATTTTGAATCACTATATTGTACACCTTAAACTAATATAAAATTGTAAATCAACTACACCTCAATGAAAATAAATTAAGTATACAGGAGGATGTGCATAGGTTATATGCAGCATTTCATTTAAGGAACTCGAACATCCTCAGATTTTGGTATTCCAGGAGGTCCTGGAAGCAAGGGCTTCCCTGATAGCTCAGTTGGTAAAGAATCTGTCTGCAATGCAGGAGACCTCAGTTCAATCCCTGGGTTGGGAACATTCCCCTGGAGAAGGGAAAAGCTACCGACTCCAGTATTCTTGCCTGGAGAATTCCACGGACTTAGTCGTGGGGTCACAAAGAGTTGGACATAACTGAGCGACTTTCACTTTCACTTCACCACGGAAGCCCAAAATGAAATTTAGGATAGTTATTTGAGGGCTTCCATGGTGGCTCAGAAGGTAAAGCATCTGTGTGCAATGTGGGAGACCCGGGTTCAATCCCTGGGTCGGGAAGATCCCCTGGAGAAGGAAGTGGCAACCCACTCCAGTACCTCTGCCTGTAAAATTCCATGGACGAAGGAGCCTGGTAGGCTACAGTCCATGGAGTCACAAAGAGACGGACATGACTGAGCAACTTCCCTTCCTTTCGCTTCACTTTCTGGGACCAAGCCCCCAGGACCAAGCGACAGCTGTATTTCAAACCACATTCAATCTTTATTACCCTCGGTACTCTTATTTTCGAATTTGCCTACTCCCTAAGTTTACTTGTGACCCCAAAATCAACACTCGAGGTGCTTTCACAGTCTGCAGACTGCCCAGAGCAGTAAAAACTCAATTCTCCCAATGCCCATATTCCTAGAATGAGACATACTCTGCCTTTGTGTCCCAGCTCTCAGGCTGTAAACAAATATCCTTTTCATAATTGATTAATTGCCACATTTTTTTAATTTTTGTACTTTTTGTTTTCACTATTTCAAATGACCCCCAAGCATACAGCTGAAGTGTTTTCTATGTTCCCGAGCACAAGGCTGCGATGTGCCTTACAAAGTTAATACATCAGATGAACTTCATTCAAGTCCAAGTTATAATGCTGTTGGCTGTGAGTTCAATGTTAATGAACCAACACACATGAAATAAGGTGTTTTTAAAAAGAAACACATATAAAATAAAGATATCTATTGATCAGTTGACAAAAACGTGACCAGAGATTGACAGGAATCTAACTCCATCCTTTCTGCAGGAGAAGTGGTTTAGTATTCACTAATTCAGTGTTTGCTGGAAGGTATGAAACATAACTACCGCAAATGAGAATCCAGCACATCTGACAAATGACTGCTATTGAAATATATACTCAATAGTAAAAATTAAACCCCTCAATTAGAAAAAGGAAAAAATTCATGAAAAGACATGCTACCAAAGAGGATACATGGGTGGCAAATAAGCATATGAAAGGAGGCTCAACATCATTTGCCATCAAGAAAATTCAAAGTAAAAATACCATGAGATACCTCTGCATGCCTGTCAGAAAATTAAAAACACTGAAAACTCCAAACGCCAGCAAGAATGCAGAGAAACTGTATCTCTGGCACACTGCTGGTAGGAGTGCAAAGTGGCACAGCTACTCTGGAAAAGTTTGCAGTTCCTTATAAAAGTAAACATGAAACTAACATATGGCCCAGCCATTGCTCTCCTGGGCATTTATCCCAAAGAAATAAAACTTGTGTTCACAAGAAACCTGCACATGAATGTTTATAGCAGCTTTAGTTGTGACCACTCCTAACTGGAGACAACACAAATGTCCTTGAACAGGTGGATGGTTAAACAGGCTATGGTAGTTCATACCATGGAATTAGACTGAACCACAAAAAGGAATTAACAATTGACACAGCAGCAACCTGGACAGATCTCCAGGGACTGATGCTGAGGGGAAAAGGTCAACATATACAGGTTACTACTATACTTGACTAGTATACTACTAAATGTTCATTAACATAACGTTTCTGAAATGACAGAATTTTAGAAATGAAAGATTGGTGGTGGTCAGGAGTTAGGGACAGGTCGACATGTCAACAAGCGATGGAGATGTTCTGTATCTTGACTCTAGTTGAGACACACTAACTTCCCCATGTGAGAAAATGGCACAGAACTCAACACCTATACACAAATGGGTGCAGAGAAAACAGTGAGATCAGAATAAGGCCAGTGGATGGTGTGATATGGTAGCACATTTTTGCTGAAAGTTGTCATGGGAAGGAACTGGGTAACGGGTACTGCCACCTCTCTGTATTAAGTCTTACAACCACAGTGATCTCCATAAAAAACCTCCACTGAATAAAGCAGCCCAGCCCAAGATGATGTGGCAGGTCAGGAGAGGCTGCACAGACTCCGGCCCTGGGCCAGGGGTGTCTGGAGCTGCCCTGCCCATGATGCTCCTCTGTACCAGTTGCACCCCCTCGGTGCCATCCCCTCTGGGCTCACGCCCTCCAGGCCACCCCCACCCACCTACTGAACACTGAACTGCCCCCACCCCCATCAGGACAGCTGCTGCACAACCCCCCAACTCCCCCAAGCTCCATGGGCTTTAAGGTAAACCCAGTTCTGCCCACTCTTCTGGCAACCCCTCGCCCATCACCCAGGGGCAGGGGTTCTCCTTCAAACCCTCCTCTGCCCTAGGATAGCGCAGGCCGTGTACAAACCCGTTGTGGGCTCTCCCCGGTGTGGTCTCCCGTAATCCTGCCTCAAGCTACACTGGCCTCGATTCTCTGAAGGATATTCCAGACGTGCAGTAGTCTCAAGGCCTTTCCTCGCTGTGTCCTCTGCCTGGCACAACACACATGCCCCTCTTGTCCGTCCTTTACGTGCCTAGTCCTCCCAACGTGCTCCATCTCCCCATGCACCTCAGCCCTGCCCTATGCACCCCAACCTCACACACGCTCCATTTCTACAACGCACCCTGACCTTGCCCTGTCCCCCAAATATACCTAGTATCCATATGCACCACAAGAGCACACTCACCTTGTCATCTCAATGCTCTCTGATCCCACAGTCTAGCCCCCAATGTGCACCATCCCCACGCTTGCCCTGTCCCCTCAACATGTTCTGACTCTGCACTCATCCTGCCCCCTAATTGCCCCAACTCTGCTCCATCTCCACGTGCACCCAAACCCCACACAAGCCCAGTCCCCCCAAGGCACCCCATCCTTGCACATGCCCCATGCCCCCAACAGCCTTGTCCTCGCCACATAAACCAATAGACAGCTCATCCCCCCAATGCACCCCATCCCTGCATACATCCCATACCACTCTCTGCTTCATTCTTGACCACAGAGCTATGGCAATCCAGTAAACTTTGCATTTTACTTTTACAGTCTGTAGGCACTCAATAATCTGTTGAAAGATTAGAGGAATGAATGAATGAAACATGGATCAATACTCAGCAATCTTGATTTTTCGTCAACAGGGTACCTGCTGCCAGTTATTTCCCTGACAAACTTATTTTGAGATTTCTGACATAAAATTTATTCCTAAATGATTCATTTTTGCCACAAACACTAATGTGACCGAACTGAAGCAAATTCATTTGAAGAGAAACTGAAGCCAAGGACACTAAGTTGGTTAGGAGCCCAGATCAGAGTGTGGAAGGGGGCTCCCCCCAGGCTGAGGAAGGCTCCCCCAGACCCCTCTCAATACAGCCAGGCATCTGACCAAGACATCTGAGATGTAAACACGGAATCTCCAAACAGGATCAGAAGACTGACAGCACCAAGTGTTGGCAAGCACTGGGCGTGGCAGGAGCGTCAAACGGACCCATCCCCATGGCGCAATGTCTCCAGCCTCCTCCTGCGTGCGGCCCCAAAGACGCGCCTCTAGGCACCCACCTGACCAGCTGAAAGCCTGCATCCACAAAGGGCTTGGCTGAGTGTGGAAATGAATGCGGACTGCCAGAGCAGAGAACGGGCAGAGTCTATCTACTCAGAGTTCGCTGCAGTAAGGGAGTCACGGGCAGTCAGAGGCGGCAAAGCTTCCCTGCGGAATAAGGGAAGGCCCCGCTGTGCTTACAGAGGCTGTGGGCCTGGGGAGCTGGAGCAGCTGACCAGGAGTGGGGTG